AAGATATGTAATAATATTTATCTATATTTATAATTATGTATTTTTATCATTATATAAAGGCATAAGAAAATAAAGAGATAAGCAAGTTCTTGTCAATTAATTTATTTTTATAATCTATATTTTGTTGGAATAATATTTGTTGATATTATTTCCGTATAATAAATAGTTGTTACTATTTATTCGCTCATTATAAATTAACGAATTAGTAGATTCGTTACAAAAATTATAGAAGATAATATTTGTAATATTATAAAATTTTTCATATTTATTCTTGAAAAAATTTTCCGATATAAATAACATTATAAAAGTTATAATTAAAATTTTTAAAACCAAAAATAAAGATATATATTTATATATAGGCGGTAGGTTACAGACCTGTCTCTCATGAGTTAGTTCGAGTCTCATCTTTTCTAATAAACATTAGAATAAGTCGTGTATTTTGTATTATGTAATCTTATATAATGTAAAAAACTTTTTCTTTTTCTAATTAATAAATTTGAGGCAAAACCTCGCTAGAACAAAAAAAAATATATATATATATATTTATATATTAAAAAAATAAATTCTGTTATATTTAAAATAAATTTGCAAATTTGTAAAATATTTTAAAAAATTTTATAAAAATTTTTTGAAAATATTTGTAATAAAAAAATTCTATAAAAATTTTTCAAAAATATTTGTAATAAAAAAATTCTATAAGAATTTTTCAAAAATTTTTTATATCGAAAATATTTGAAAACTTGTAAAAAATTTTCAGAAATTAACTATTCTGAAAAATTTCCAGAGATTTTTGTCTCTTAAAATTTTTTGATATAGAATTTAGCTATTGCACTAAAATTTAGCCATTGCATCAAATTGTGTTAAAACTAATTTTTAGACTCAATTGACTAAATTAAATCTGATTAAATTCCTGATTCAATTCATATTGCGTTTACTATCCTTACCTATAATAATCATAGCTGTAATCATTTTGTATAAAATTTTATTTACAATTGAAATTTTATTAAGTAACAATTCTCAATGTTAAATACCTATTTACACAAATCAGGATTATAAATTTAATATCAAAAATATTTTCAAATCTCAAAGATTAAAATTTGTTTAATAACTATTGTTTTAAAATTTATTGTTCAGATACTAGAATTTTTTAAAAGCAAAAAAAGATGTTATAGTTATATATTTTTTCAAAATTGATTTCTAATTTTGAGATATTTCATCTTTTTAAGATCAAAAAATTTCAGGTTTTAAGTAAAACTAAATTATTTTCTATAAAAAACTATTTCAACTTTCAGGTTTCAAAATATTTCAACTTACTATGATAGTCTATTTTGTATTCAAATATAGTTGTAATACATTTGTAAACCACTGTAGATATTAATAATAAAGAAAATCAAATTATTAATTTGTAATATTTTTTATAAAATTGATAAAAAAATTTGAAACTTTATTTATATATATATAAAAAAATCTAAAAATATACATAAACAAAAGAATTTTCTATTAAATATCTTTTTCTGTTTTATAATAACTCTTATTTAATTACTTTTTATATTTTGATTTAATATTATGTTAAAGAAAAGAATATAATAAATTAATTTAAATTGTAATTGAATATTATTTTGTAATAAAAAATCTTGAGATAGATTTCTAATAAAAAAAGAATTATAATTAATATATTTTTTCAATATTTTATAATAATTTATATACAATAAATATAAAAAAAATTAAATAAATTTACTTATTAATAAATTTGTCTAAGTTTATTATAAATTTACAAGTAATCACACTATTAACCAAAATTTACCTTTGTAAAAATTTGACAATAATGCTTAATAACAAATACAAAGATCACATAATAATGTACCTATCATAGCAAAACTACAATTTATATAATAAAGTATAAAGATAAAGGTTTTACAATTGCAAACTTTATTCAAAAGAGGTAAAAAGGATTTTTATAGAGTAAGATATACATGTTATCAAAACTATTGAATTGAGTTAGACATAATTAAAAATTTTCATTTTATATAGTAAATTAGTACAATTATTGAGTCAGGTATAATTAAAAATCAAAAAAATCAAAATTGAGTCAAAGGCTTTTTACTTTTGATAACAAATATAGAGTGATATAAATGTAAATGAAGAAACATTTATTGTTGCCTAACCTTTATTCAATATAACTATTTATTATTTAACTATATTACAACCTATTCATAGTACAATGTTATAAAATTATGTCATATAACAATTAATTTTCCACAAAAAGTACAAATTTATTTTTATACATGATTGATACTATTTTAATTCCATCTCAAATATGGAGAGATTCTGGAAAGATGCTCAATTATATGTTGAAAAATAAGGATGAAATGTCAGAATGATGAAAGAAAGCTATATTGGGATGTTTATTATAAAGCAATACAGATTCTATAGATTTTAAGATTAGAGAATGTGGGATGTATCCAGATGATACAATCTAAATTATAATTTTTATTAAAGGTTACTATATGGAAGTTTGTGTCATAATCAGTGTTGTGTGTTGCAATCCAAAAAGGAAATTTTAACAATAGAGTTTATTATTAAAATTTTCTTCTTTGGAACACAACATGGGACATGATGCTATATCATCCTGGCTTGTTGAAATTGAATCATGTGATTTACCAAAATCTGTTAGAGATTTGGAATCTAATATAAAGTTTTAACACGAGTTAATTTGTTTTATATTTTTAATATAGTTCTGAGAGTATTCTTTATTAAAACATGAAAAGAACCAAATGCATAAAATACAGATAATAAACAGATAATATGATACAGTTGAAATGTCTTTAATGAAAAAATATACAAGAGTTAAAAAAATATTTATAAACTACAGTGTACATTATAAATTGAATACACATTTACAACACAAAATTATTCTTCAGGATTTTCCAAAACCTTTCTAGTAATTCTAGCAATCGATTGTCTCTTAAGAACTCCTGTCAATTGTCCACTTTCTTGCATAGCTGTTATATAATTTTCTTTTTGTTTAATTGCAGTTGCATATTTGGGCTGTATTTTTAATACTTTATCCAAATCTCTAATTGCTGCTTCATAATTCTTCATTGCAAAATATACTGCGCTTCTTTCACATAATGCTAGTAAATTATCAGGTTCTCTTAATAATCCTTTATTTAAATCTGTCAATGCATCTTCGTGTCTATTCATCACCCGATAAACTGATCCTCGATTAATTAATGCTTGTGTTTCATATCCTATATAATATGCTTTATCTCTAACATTTTCTAATGCTAGATCTAAATCCGTCAATGCATCCGACCAACATCCCATTGTTCTATAAACGCTCCCTCTTAATGATAATGGATAACACCAATTAGGTTGGACTGTTAATACACGATTTAAATCTACTAAAGCCGAATCTAATCGATTTAATGAATAAAATACTTCTCCTCGATAACATAAAGCCCAACAATTTTCCGGTTCAAGTTCCAATGCACTATTTAAATCTTTTAATGCTTTTCCATGTTTACTTAAAATATGATAAATGGCTCCTCGTGTTGATAATGCTGATACATTTTTAGATTCAATTTCTAATGCTAAATCTAAATCTATTAATGCTTCCGAATACCTTTTCAACATATAATATACCGAACCACGATTTGAAAGTGCAAATACACTATTAGGTTTTAACTGTAACACTTTATCAAGATCACGAAGTGATTCTTCATATCGTCGAAATGATCGATTTAATGCTCCCCGACTTTCACGTGCAAATACATTATCAGGATTAATTCGAATAGCTTCATTTAAATCTGTCAAAGATTTTTGTCCTTCCTTCAATACTCGATAAATTTCTCCTCTACTGGTCAATGCAAATTCATTACTGGGTTCAAGTTTTAATGCTTTATTAAAATCATCTAAAGCTTCTTTAAAATATTTAAGTAATCTAAAAACTTCCCCACGCCCTCTTAACAAACAAGGGTCATCAGGTGAAATGTCTAACGCTAAATCAAAATCTTTTAAAGCTAAATTAAATTTACCTAATAATCTATGAATTTCTCCTCGATGTCTCAATAAAATTAAATTATCAGGTTCCAGTTCAATAGCAGTATTATAATTACTTAATGCTTCTTTAAAATTACCAAGTTTTTGATAAACTTCTCCTCGATTTCTTAAAGCGAACAGATTTTTAGGATTAATTTCGAGAATTTTATTAAAATCTTTTATAGCATCTTGAATTTGATTCAATTGTCGAAATAATGTAGCACGTCTTTCCAATGCCAAAGTATTATTTTCTTCTTTTTCCAATGCTTCATTTAAATCTGTTAATGCCATATCAAATTTTCCTATAATTCGATAAATTTCTCCTCGATTAGCTAATGTTGAAGAAACATTTTCTGGATCATTCTTATAAACAGTATCTAAATCCAAAATTGCATCGGAATAAAGACGTAAATTAACATAAACTTTTGCTCGCCTTATTAAAGTAAATGAATTTTTAGGTTCAATTTTCAAAGCAAAATTCAAATCATTAATTGCATCGGAATATCTTGACAGTGTACAATGTACTTCAGCCCGAGCTCTCAATGCAAAAGCTGAAGGTTGAAGTTTAATAGACTTTGAAAGATCACTCATAGAACTATCGTACATTTTAATTAATCTACATATTTCACCTCTAAGAGCATAGGCCACAGGTTTTGAGGGACGTCGAGTAATGGCAACTTTTAAATCTTGTAAAGCAAGATTCCATTTTTCTGTTTGATAATAAGCATAAGCGCGATCACACCTAACAGAATAACTATAAGGATATTTGGCTAATACTTTGGTGAAAAATGAAATTGACTCTGAATATTGTTGAGAAAATAAGGATTCTTTGGCTTTGATATAATCCTGATTGTTTTTTTTAGATTTTTTAAAGAAGTATTTAAATTTTCTTCCAGTATTACTATTAAGATTATTATCAATATTACTATTGATATTACTATTGATATTACTATTGATATTACTATTGATATTACTATTGATATTACTATCAATATTACTATTATTATTACGATTGTTATGATTGTTATGATTTTTACGATTTTTACGGTTGTTATTAAGAGACAAGTCAGGAGATGAAAAATTTTCATGTCTCCGATTTCTAAAATTAAAACTTGAGGTAGGGGAAGAAGAAATCACTTCAGATTTTGAGCGAAAACGATAATCATAAGATCTTGCAGTATTTGAATTTATAGGATGGACATCACTGATTTTCGATAATCTACGAGAATTATTACTACCATCACTATTATTAATAGGAGGAAAAGACAAAGGTGAACCAGGTAGTGAAGAAGATGAAGCACTACTCATTGATAATAAACCTATTTGGGAAGAAAGATGCGAAGAAGATGATGATGATGGATCTGAAATATCAGAATATTGGCTGCGTCGGTGGAATGAAGGGTATGGAATATCATAAAATTTTTCTCCACTCTATAAACCAAAATGAATTATTATTTATTTTATTTATATTATAAATTATTATTATTATTATTTTATTTAGAAAATAAACTCACACGTGAAACAAAACAGATTATCTATAATTACCTCTTTAGGATAAAAAACATGCCTTTGGTAGATGTTATTTTGAGATGGTTCTTGCGTCATTATTTGTTTATGACCTCAATGATTGGTTTAAAAAATAAATTTTTATTTATTTAATAATTGATAATAAAAAGAGAAGTATCGTTTGCTTGATTGTTATAATATGAATATTTGGTTATCGCTTTTACTATTATTACTTTACATGAGATTCGCATCCAACAACAATATATTCTAAATATTTTAAAAAATTTTCAAAAGAACAGAAGTTACAAACAAACGTATTTAAGAGAAATATTTATATAATTTTAGCAAAGCAAAAAAGATATTACATGGAAACGTTGAAGTCTTAAATATAAGACGTAATTTTATAAAGTACTGGATTCTAAAAGTATAGCCAAGAATTTGCTCATTTTATTTAAGCCACTTTTATTTTATATTCCAACACTTTTTATAGTTAAATTAGAATTATGTTCGGATTCATTTTAAACTTTTCCGCAATATTTTCTAAATATATTTTTGAAATATCTAATAGTTTATTTTCAAATCACGATAAACCTATTTTTAACAATGAAATTATTTTTGCATCTATTTATAAAAAAGATGTTTCTCACGCTTTTTGCATTTGAAATTGTAAGAAATATAGTATTTTGGTATTTGATTATCTATGAACATGTGCCAATAATTACAGACAATCCTTAATTAAATTTCTTGTGTAATAAAAATTTTTTTAATAAAGATAAACAAAGTAAACTTCGTTACGCCCACTTTCAATATTGAGATACCAAACTTTGCAAAAATGTAATATCATAGAAGCTAAAAAACTCGACTTTTCTATATTATCAATCGTGTAACTCTACTATAATTATGATCGTCAAACTCCTTGAAATAAAAATGTAAATCTTTAGCACACATCTTATAATAAATTTATGTAGATCCCCCTACTCCTACAATAAAAGATACCGTTAGTATTTGGTTTATAGAACAACCTTTTTACGGGTTGAGCGTGGTAGGCCACAATTCCAGGTTTCCCTGACTCAGGTGTTTGAGCAAGATGTTTCTTGCCCCGTTATGATCCCTATTAATCTTAAAAAACTATATGAATTGCATTTGTAAATTTTGGATCCACCAAGGTTATGTTTTATGTACCCGCATTGTCCACATGTCTTTGATG